GGAGGAGGAGGAGGAGGAAGAGTGGGGGGGGAGAGGGAGGGGGGAGGCAACGTGGTTATCTCGTTGGAAACCACCAAAGCCGGGGGGAAAGGGCATCGGATGTGGCCGGTAAATTCTGCCTCCCCCCCCGCACATCCCAGGTCCAGCAAATCACAGAATCACAGAATCTTCTAGGTTGGAAGGGACCTTAAAGATCATCTTGTCCAACCGTCAACCTGACTGACAAAAATGAACACCCGCACAACAGACAAGAAGCATCATCACTAAACCAGACCTCCCAGCACTACAGCAACCTGTCTTTTGAACACCTCCAGGGATGGGGCCTCAACCCCCTCCCTGGGCAGCCCATTCCAATGGCTGAGAACCCTTTCCGTGAAAAATTTTTTCCTAATATCCAGCCTGAACCTCCCTTGGCGTAACTTGAGGCCATTTCCTCTTGTCCTGTCGCCTGTGAGTTGAGAAAAGAGACCGACCCCCACCTCTCTACACCCTCCTTTCAGGGAGTTGGAGAGAGCAAGAAGGTCTCCCCTCAGCCTCCTCTTCTCCAGGCTGAACACCCCCAGCTCCCTCAGCCTCTCCTCATCAGACTTATTCTCCAGACCCCTCACCATCTTCATTGCCCTTCTCTGGACCCGCTCCAGCACCTCAATGTCTTTTTTTATGGTAGGGGAGGGTGGGAAGCAGCACCCACTCTGTCTCCCACCTTCTGGAAAGGGCATCGCACCCAGGGGATAGTTCCAGTCCAGCTGAGGCCACAGGCAGTCCTGGGAGCCCCTCCGAGTGTGACACTGCCACCCTGATGCTCCTCAGGTGCCCTGTGCCCAAGGGGCTCACAGCAGCCCCACTGGGGTCACCCGTTGCCCATCGGGCAACCTCTCTCTGCTGCCATGTGGTCCCAGCTGGGAGAATGTGTGAAAGCAGGAAGGCTGGATTTCCTTCCCTTTGTTGTCGAGGCTTCTCGTCGGCCCCCTGTCCCCAAGCACTATTGTCTTTATAAATAAACTCCCTCTCCCCAGACTCCTTGGTGTTGTGAAGGCAGGAAAAAAACAGACTTTTTTTTTTTTTTATGGTTTATAAATATGATTTATGGCAGAGCTGTCAAATCACCACGTTAATTGCCTCCGGCTTGACTACCATCTGCAGTTCCATACCACATGGCTTCCTATATAAATTTACAGCTCAGCTAAGCCAAAGTGCACCTCCAGCTGCCCAATCAATGCCAATAATAAAAACTCTCAAGGTTCACCTATCCCCTTTCCAGCTCCTCCCTCTCTCCATGCACCTGATGCCCTCGGTGCAGAAGACACATCTCATATGGTTGCATGTTCTACAGGGCTGACGGGAGTCCAGAGCGGGTGGGATTAAGGAGGTATTGAAATAGCCTTAAATGTAGGCAGGGGAGCGAGTTTTTCCATAGGTACACCCAAGGATCAGGCTTGCTGAATAAGAATGTTATCTTCAGTCGCCCTGCGGGTCAGAAGCAGACTTGAGTTCATGTTTCAGTTGTGATTTAACTTCCTCTTTCGAGGAAAATCTGCCTACGTAGAAAACTTTTACCCTAGTGTTTCACCCA